GTACATACTGTGAGTGTTCACACGCACACGCTCACACACGAGCACAATGTACACACGGTGTACTGTGCACACCAGCCACACACACGTGTGTACACACGCATGCTTGAACACGCGTACATACTGTGAGTACTCACACACACACGCTCACACACGAGCACAATGTACACACGGTGTACTGTGCACACCAGCCGTGCACACGTGTGTACACAGGCATGCTTGAACATGTGTACATACCATGAGTGCTCACTCGCATGGGCTCACACACAAGCACAAGGAACACATGGTGTACTGTTCACACCAGCTGTGCACACGTGTGTACACACATGCAGGCGTGAACGTGCACCTGTGCACGCTCAATATCCTGCACATATACATGGGCACACACTTGCACACACAATGCACATACCGATGTGAGGCATACGTGAACACACGCATGCACTCACACGTGTGCACACACTTGTATCCACAGACGCACAAATACAGAGTGCTCACACAATGCATGACACGCATACACACACGATACAGTGCACACGTCCTTGCACACGTGCACGTGGAGGTGTGAACACGAGTACAAACACACACATCTTCCTGTCCTCTTCTGAGTACCACTTCCAAACATTTCCTTCTTTAGCATCTCCCGTGCGAGCCCCGATTGCCCAGCCTCCGTCCCCAAGCGCTCCTCCTCCGGCAGCCTGCCCCCCAAGCCCTCTGTCTCCCACCTAATGATGGACATGGGCATTGGTATTTTGTTGCTGGCATCGTTTTTGCTCAGAATCGCTTCCACCCGGTCTTCATTCCTCACGCAATCACGGAAAGATTATTTTTGCTCTTTCCATTTTAAAGACAAGCGGCCTGAGGGGCCAACAGAGCTGCTGGGATTGGCCCAGGACTCTCAGCGAGTGCGGGTCAGGCTGACCTGGTCCTGTGCTGGTGCTCCAGATCCCAGAGTGCCCTGCTCAAATGACAGTCCCACCTGGGGGATCCTCGACAATCCCACACTGAAGTCTCAGTCTGACCTCCGGATCTTCCTCCCCACTGCGACCCCACCCTGTGCTTCCCCAGCTCCTGGATGGAAATTTGGGGGTGGTCTAGCCATCTCCTTCCCCATGTCCTGCATACCAGCGCAACCGTCAGCTCCTACCCGCCCCCCAGGCCCTCCTCCTCCCTCCCTGCCAGGCTAGCATCAGCTCCCTCTGGGGTGCCTGCCATGGCCACCTCCCTGTCCCCAACTCCCGCTCTGAGCTCCAGCGCCCTTCTGCATTGACAGCCCAAGGACCACCAGCGCATGTCACTCTTCTGCTTAAAGCCCCGCGAGGCTAACACAGACCAGCTCTTATGCATGGCTGCCACGGTGGGCCGGGCCCTGGGGCCATCAAACCCAATGTGGCACCACAGTCCTTCCTTGCAGACAAAGAAACCAAGGCTCAGGGGGTAAATGACCACTGGGGAGTGGCAGAGCAAGATTATAGGCCGGGCCAGGGCCCGGCCCCACCCTGCATCATCCTCCCATCTCCCAAACCAGCTACTGCCCCTCTGCTCTGCTCCTCCTCGTCCCCCAAGGACCACCTCCAGCCTCACCACGGAAGCTGCCCAAGCCAAAGTCACAGCGACCTATATCTTGCCCAGCCCAAAGGTCAGCCCTTCTAGCCTCCTACCTTGCTGCTGGGGGCCCCCCCACACATCTAATGTCCCCAGGGCATTTGTGCTGGTTTCCTGGACACCCATTCTGCCCCCACCACACAGGGGCTCTGCCTGCCTCCTCCTGAGACCACGGGAGAGGCAGTGGCCTCCCCCTTTCCTCTGCTCCTCTCCAGCTATGCTCACTGCTTCCCAGACGTTCTGGGATGTACAGGCGGGGGCCATGATTGGAACTGTGTTCCCAGATAACTGCCTTCCCTTGAAACCTCTTGTAGCTTATTTTCTGCCTTTAAAGACTTGGTTCGGAGCAGTCCGCTGACCTCATTGGCCGAGGGCCCTGGACAATGTCACCTGGCCCCACAGTAACCTGCCCAGCGTGAAGCCCCCAGCCAGGCCCAGCCCCTGGATGCTCGGCGCCTGTATTCAGCTGCCCGGCCTGCGTGCCACTCAGCAGTCTGAGAAGAGCTGTCCCCTGCTGCCTCCCCATTCTGGCCACAGAGCCAGCCTCCCGGATGCTCCCACGAAACCCCGGGCATTCTGCCAGGGGGCTTCCACCACCAAACCTGCCCAGGAATGCCCACCGAGCCCCACCGGCACTCTGTTCCCCCAGTCACGTCCTCCCACATGGGCTCCCAGCTCTCTAAGGAGAAGCCAAGGTGCTCCGAAGGCCGAGAACCACACAAGACCCGCCGGCCCTCTGCTAGGGTGCCCGGCACACGTCCACCCCATCCGCGGCCTGCAATGCCCTTCGACACCCTTGGGGCTCACTGCGCCCCTCCCGGAATCTTGAACACGGCTCCCTGGTCCAGGTGACCCCCAACCTCTTGGTGAAACAGAGGCCCCAGCCCACCACAGACCCTTCCCCGGCATTGTTTCCCGATGAGCTCCCTTGTGACTTTGGCCCCTTCCTCTGCCCCGAAGGCAACCTCTCGACAACGGGTCTTTGTTGTTCTTTCCACTGCGTGTCCCTGGTGCCCGCAGCACCTTGCAGGCGCGCTGTGACCAGCTGTTGGCTACATGCTTGGTGTGGCCGAATCACATTCAATCCCCAAATTTCAGCTCCCAACCACGTCTCCAAACAGCCCACTCAGCTCACTTTTCCTTCATGTAGCCCGGGTCCCCGGAGGCCCCACAGACCCCGCCGCAGGCCATAGCAGCCCACTCCCCCTTAGCACGTCTGCTTGCAAAGATGGAAGGACCCTCTCCCGGCCAGGAATTAACACTCCTTCATCCTGGGAGAAATCCCTCGTTCATCCCTTCACTGACACTCAGCAGGCCCCTCCCAGGCTCCAGGCACGCGGGCCCTGGGACCCGGGACAAAGACCTCAGGCCGCCCGCCCGCAGCACATGCGTGCAGCAACCTTATCCCAAGGCATTTGGCTTCCCTGGTTGCGTGCTCCGGGGGCAGGTGACCACGCCGGGGGCTGGTGACCGCGCCGGGGGCAGGTGACCGCTCCGGGGGCTGGTGACCGCTCC